TGGGGCTGAAAATTGGGGTGACATTGCCAGGACAGAGGGGATAACCCAGCTGAGCCTGTGGTGTGTGTGCAGTGAGCGGCAATGATGGGTGTTTGGGGTGCAGGACCTGCTCAGAGCTGCATCCTGCAGGTGACACATGCACTGCTCAGTGCCTCAGTTTCTCTGTCTGTTCATGGGGGATGGGAATGCCTGGAAATTCCCGGCTCTATGGGGTTGAAAATCGGGGTGACATTGCCAGGACAGAGGGGATAACCCAGCTGAGTCTGTGGTATCTGTGCAGTGAGCTGCAATGATGGGTGTTTGGGGTGCAGGACCTGCTCAGAGCTGCGTCCCGCAGGTGACACAGGCGCTGCTCAGTGCCTCAGTTTCCCTGTCTGTTCATGGGGGATGGGAATGCCTGAGAATTCCTGGCTCTGTGGGGTTGAAAATCGGGGTGACGTTGTCAGGGCAGAGGGGGTCACCCAGCTGGATCCATGGCGTTTGTGCAGTGAGCTGCAATAATGTGTGTTTGGGGTGTAGGACCTGCTCAGAGCTGTGTCCCACAGGTGACTGCTCAGTGCCTCAGTTTCCCTGTCTGTCTGTGGGGGATGGGAATGCTGGGGGATTCCTGATTGCACAGAGCTGAAAATGGGGGTGACACTGCCAGGAGAGAGGGGATCACCCAGCAGGGTCTGTGGTGTCTGTGCAGTGACCTGGTTTGGGGTGCAGGACCTGCTCAGAGCTGTATCCCATGGGTGACATGGTGTCATGGTTTGGACCCTGGCCAAAACCACCACACATGGGCACTGCTCAGTGCCTCAGTTTCCCCGTCTGTCCATGGGGGATGGGAATGCCTGGGAATTCCTGATTGCTGGAGGAGGGGGAGGATAAACAGCAAACCCTCCCAAGTGAGTTATTCCTGAAGGCAGGATAACAAGCAGGAATTCAGCAGGGCTCCTTCTCCCTGAGCCTTGGCCTTGCCCAAAGGTTTAATTCTGGGTTTTCCATTTCTCCAGAAACCCACCGGGTGTTTGACCCTTCACAATCCTCCACCTACAAGAGCACAGGGCTGAATATGTCCATCCACTACGGCACTGGCGAGATGCAGGGGACCGTGGGCTCCGACACCGTCACTGTGAGTGTCCCCATTGCTGTGGGGAACATCCCAACCCCTAAAGCTTCTCTGGTGTTCGTTACCCAGATAYCCCAMACAGGATCAGCTGTCTCRTAGGGAGCTATTCCAGAGCCATGGGGTTAACCCCGGGCTGGCATCTCCCAAACGCCAATAACCAGCTCRCTGTTSAAGGGAGATCTGGCAASATGAGCTGGGTTTGGGACTGGCAGACGCTCACTTYACAGCTGTAAAATCCACAGCAAACTTCCACAAAGCAGAAATCTYCTGMACATTTTCCTGGAAATGTGTGGAGTTTCTCCCGTGGGTGGGGACGCCACTTCWCGGTYACTCTGCAGGGAYTGAGTGAAGGATCTGTGCACATTTTCATTGTTTTGGTGGTAAATTACATTYAAATCCTAAACCAATCCTATTCATTTTGTCAGCTTTGATGCAGGTACCTTGATACAGTGCCCTGTTTATGTTCTGCTGTAATCTACTTGTAGTTCTTTACTTTTATACTCTGTAATAATTCTGATTAATATCTGTCACCTGTTATCTTCTGTCTGCTCATTTTCTGAGTAAATAACTCACCTTTCACAAACAGATCTGATTTGCCAGCGTTAAAACTTGTGGGGCAAAGCTGCAGAATTTAAACCCTTGATGGTCTGAGGCTGAGGTTGGATCCTCTCTCTGAAGAGGGGTTCAGGGAACCAGGGGATCCCTTGGCCCCCCATGACTCAGTGTTGGGGCTTTTTTAATAACATTGAAGGTTATTCAGCAGGGAATTCTCTGCTCCTTCTCCACTGGATCGGACCCAGTGGAAAGGGGAAAACTGGGAAAGGAATCATCCCACGGCCCCAGAGAGGGAAGGGGTGGGTTACAGATACCAGAGCACTCCAAGCCTTTTCCTGAAATCCTGGTGTTCCTGGAGTTGTGAGGATGGAAATCCCAGCCTGGATTTGGATGGGGATGGGCTGTGGATAAATGGGAATTTTGGGATTCCTGAGGCTGGAGGGGACTGGAAGTGCAGGGAATGATTGGGAAGCTTTTAAATAAAACCTGGGAGGGAAAAAGCTGGGATTTATGCATCCCCTGCTTGGATTTAGACCCTGGAAAAACCAGTGATACCCACCCAAGAATTTCCAGGAAATCCACACCTATCCCAAAGCGCTGATGCTTCCACAGGAGCGCATCCAATAATTTTTTTGGGGATCCCYTCCCTGTCCCAGGTGGCCTCTCTGGTGGACACCAACCAGCTCTTTGGCCTGAGCACCGCYGAGCCCGGCCAGTTCTTCGTCAACGTCAAATTCGACGGCATCCTKGGCTTGGGGTACCCAAACCTGGCTGCTGATGGGATCACACCGGTGTTTGACAACCTGGTGAACCAGAGCTTGCTGCAGCAGAACCTCTTCTCTGTCTACCTGTCCCGGTGAGCCACGGGGGCTGGGGAAGGGGGGATGGATGAGCCTCATGGATGTCGTTTGCTGGTGGTTCCAGCTCCTCCCTTGCCAGAAAAGGAGGCTCAGGGGTGAACTTATTGCTCTCTACAAATTCCTGAAAGGTGGCTGTGGGCAGGTGGGGTCGGCAAAATGAGAGGACACAGCCTTGAGYTGCACCAAGGGAAATATAGGTTGGATATCAGGAAAAGGTTTTTTATGGAAAGAGTGATAAAGCACTGGAATGGTCTGCCCAGAGACAGGATGGAGTCACCATCCCTGGATGTGTTTAAAAAAAAGATTGGATGTGGCGATGGATGCCATGGTTTAGTTGAGGTGTCAGAACATGGGTTGGACTCGAAAATCTTGAAGGTCTCTTCCAACCCTGGTGATTCTGTGATTCTGTGATTCTGTGATTTTGTGATTTGTGATTCTGTGATTTTGTGATTCTGTGACTGTGATTCTGTGATTTTGTGATTCTGTGATTTTGTGATTCTGTGATTCTGTGATTCTGTGATTCTGTGATTCTGTGATTCTGTGATTTGTGATTCTGTGATTTTGTGATTCTGTGACTGTGATTCTGATTCTGTGTTTCTGTGACTCTGTAATTCTGTGATTCTGTGACTGTGATTGTGTCACTGCTGCCATCGGGTGCTGTGTCTGTCACAGTGTGCAGGGCTGGGGTCCTCCAGCCTCATGGGGGGCTCATGGCTCTTTGGGGACAGTTCCCAGGCCCGTGGTTCCCCCATGGCTCCCTCTCTCTGGGCCCAAGGGTCCTGCCATGCTGCTGAGGAGGGCAGGGGCTGTGCCACCATCAGTGTGTCACCTTCAGACACTCAGCCCCACACTGAGCCTTGTGGCTAAGCCTGCCCTTGTTTTCCTTTCCTGCCCATCCAGTGAGGCCACAGGGAGCGTGGTCATCTTCGGGGCCATCGATCAGTCCTACTTCACCGGCCCCATCAGCTGGATCCCYGTCTCCTACCAGGGCTACTGGCAGATCTCCATGGACAGGTAACAAACCAGCTCTGCTTCTCTCTGCTCACTCAAAGCTTTCATTCTGAAGAGACCTCGGGCTTGTCACCACCAGAGGCTTCCATTGCCATCCCCACCCCAGGGCTGAGGRGTGYAGAGGGACAGGGGCACAAAATCCATCGTACTTTGGTAATTGCCACCCAAAATGGGGTTGTTTTGTGCCTGGTGCACGTCCTGTGATTTGGGGGATGTCTCTGGTGACGAGCAGAGCAAAATCATGGATCARAACCCCCCTTTTGGGGCTTGGTTGTGTTCAGTGCCCACGTGTGCCGTAGTGGCTGCATTTCCAGCTGGCTCTGCAGCTCCAGAAAGGAAAAGGTTCACAGACAGCATTTGGAGTTACCCAGTTTAAATTCTTATAAAAGAAATTAAAACCCCTCCCTAAGGTCCCTGTGGTCCCTTCACGGCCCCTGGTTGGTCTCTCCCTGCAGCATCATCGTGAACAGCCAGGAGGTCGCGTGTGCTGGGGGCTGCCAGGCCATCATCGACACCGGCACTTCCCTCGTGGCCGGGCCACCCTCGGGCATCAGGAGCATCCAGAGCGCAGTCGGGGCCAGGCAGGGCTTGTACGGAGAGGTGAGAGCTCACCCTGGAGGCGTCTGACCCTGCAGAGCCCGGCCAAGGCTGCTCCGTGCATGGGGGAACCACCCTGGGCTCAGGGTAACCCCGTCAGGGACACCCTGGGCTCAGGGTAACCCCGTCAGGGACACCCTGGGACCGGCTCAGGCTCTGGTTTAGATCACCAAGACAGAGAATCACAGAAATCCTGAGTGGGAGGGACCCGCAGGGATCACAGAGTCCAACCCCTGCCCTGCACAGACACCCCAAAATCCCACCCTGAGCATCCCTGAGAGTATTGTCTGAACRCTCCTGGAGCTCTGGCAGCCTCGGGCCGTGCTCATTCCCTGAGGAGCCTGGGCAGTGCCCAGCACCCTCTGGGGGAAGAACCTTTCCCTGAGATCCATCCCAACCTTCCCCTGGCACAGCTCCAGTCCTTCCCTGGGTCC